GCTGAGTGAAATAGAGGCATAACTTCACATGCTGAGTGTACAGTTAAGATAAAAGGTGCCAGGGCTGGTGAGGATTGTTTTGAACTAGTTAAGTTTTAAAATGGCTTTGCAGGACCAGCAGGTGGCGGGGCGGGTTAGCTGCTTGATCAGGTGGCGTGGTGGTTAAGGCTGCTGGACTCCCACATGGCTGACGATGGTTCAAGTCCTGGACCTGGTGGCTTGCTTTCTCACTTTCCCTCTTTCTCTCTCTCTCTGCGTATCTCTCTGGTCAAATTAAAATAAAATGAATGGATGAATAAAAGTAAATAAATAATTTTTTTAAAAATGGCTTTGCTACAACAGGCAGCAATCAGCACTGTTTGGCTTTTTGTACATGTGATAAGAAAGAGTAAGAAATACTTGCGTACAAGTGGAGAACCCAGGGATGAAGATTATGCTTCTTCCAACTAGCTTCCAATATGCAGCAAATGAGATCCAGCTAAAGAATAAAGACAGTTCATTATCATTGCTCATATCCTTTCTTTCAAGGCCCCTGTAGCTATCCCTCCACAGCTCTGACAAGCACATTCAGGACATCTGGCATTCAAGCTGTGCCCGGACACAAAACCAGCCTTTTTGAGGTCAGTTCTGAGGCACTAGAATCCAAAATGGAAAGATTAAAAATGTGCACTAAGTCTAACAGAACACCCTCTGTCTGTGTGGACAGTGCCCCAGCTGAGCTTCCCCAGTCCAGCTAACTGGCCCCAGCATTCACACTCACAGACCCTCATCCATTAGTGAAGGTCAAGTGCCACTGAGTTTTCTCTAGGCCTGTCTTACTGCAAGGGCCAAAAGCTGACAGAAGAAAGAAAACAGATCAGAATGAAGGTCATGTGAATGAGCTGTGGAGTCAGACTGATACCAAGTTCAGGTTATGTTATTTTACTAGCTGTGTAACTCTGTGCAAGTTACTAGTCCTTCCCAAATTTCAGTGTTCTTACCTGTAAAACAAGAGGGTGGTACTTAGCAGGGTTGATGTAAGAATTAGTTAGCACACTGGAACATAGAGGATTAATAAAGCCTGATCCACCAAAGTTGATAGCTTTCTTTGCATACTGGCTCATTTGCATGCTAGTCTTACTCAAACATGGAGAAACAATCAAGTGTTCTTATTCTGTATAACTGTTTAAGTTTGTCAAGCATATTATTTCTAGATTCTAAACTAGATCAGGCCTCAACTCTGCAAGCTTGCTTTTTTAAAAAAATATATATATTATTTTGGTGTTTATTTTTTTTAATCCAATGAAGTGGTATGTGCTCTGTCTTCTTTTTTTCTTCTTCTTTTTTTTTGTTAAAGCTTGTTTTAATTTTAATTCAAGAGAGGGTGTATGCTTGCCAGAGAGAGGGAAAGCACCCTCCAGTGGGGCGTGGTCAGGCCACAACCCTCTTTCCTGTATTCTTCTTTTTTTTTTGGAGAGGTTTTTGCTACAGGGTACATGCACTCGCCAGAAAGACAGAGAGACAGAAAGCAAGAAATCACCCCCCAGGGGGGATGGCCACACTGCAATCCCTTCTCCTCTCGGGCTCTTGGGCACGCACTCACACGTGCCCGACGTGAGTTTAAGCCACCGGGTCCAGGAAGCAAACTGCGGTCGACAACATGGGAGTCCAGCAACATAGCCATTACGCTAACTGCTGGTCCCTGCATTCTTCCTTCTCATCAGGATTTTGGGGATGTGCACACATGTGCCTAGAATATTTTTTCAAGCCACTAGGACCACAGTTCAAATCATGGTCAGCCACATGGGATCTGGCTCCCAATGTACAGTGTTTAACCACTGCACTATGAAGTCAGGCCTCTCTCTACTTTTTCAAAGACTCAGACAGCCTTAAAATTCTATTTAATCTACTTCTATTTACACACAGACAGGTGCTATTAATTTGGGTCACACAATTTCAACACATAGCTACGAGGTAATGGACTGCCAATCTCATTGGCAGGCTATACTAAGGTAATATTTATACACTAAGCTGGAAACTGGCCTAGTTGGACTGCTGGAACTAATTAAGAATTGAAGTTCAAGTTCTCTCATGTCTTCATAGGCCTTCGTGTACAGTAATCATTACTTACTGGTTATTAAGCTGAAGGTTGCCAAGATGAGACGTGAACATTTGGCAACCACACTAAATTCATTGTCCTATCCTTCTAGGAGCATACAACTGCTATTTGAAGGGAGGGCAACAAACCACTTGTTTATTGATTCCTTCAAAGTCAAGTTCTTTTTGTTTATTGTTTCCCATTCACCTTCCTCATTCTATAACACTAAATATACTATTTCGAGCAAGGGCAATCACCACAAACCTAATGTGAAAAACACATATATATATTTATACTGAACCACATTCTGAGAGTTATATATGGTAGGAAACAGGGTAGGATGAGATTGAGGACAACAAAAAGCAAAACCAACCAGTTTTGAAATGTAGTCCAGAACCATCTGCTCAATTTTCTTCTTTTCTACACCCTGTAGGTGTCTCAGAAGATGGTCTTTTAGCTCAGACACCATCTGAAAATAGAATATACATTATATAAGTTCCAACTTACCCACTCACACCTGCAACTGGTTTGCATTAGATCCACTTATTAGTATTTCCTGTCAATATGAAAATATTGGATCTGACAATTCCACCAACAGAAAAGTAAAATTCTCAACATTCCTCTGATGAGCCCTAACTTTTTCCTCAAGAGGAACTACTTATGATTTACCCCAAGGCCAGAGAATAACTAAGTCAGGCTCCAAGGCCTGATGAGAATTCTACGAAGAAGCCAGTGGAAGTCACCAAACCAGAAGTCAAAGCTTTATGAGGCCAGCCAGCAGCGCAGTGGTTAAGGCAGCTGAATCCCATATGGCCGATTGCACAGTTCAAGTCTTAGACCCAGAAGCTTGAAAACCATGCTGGAGACATGTGTGTGCATGCCCAAATCCCAAGAGAACAGAGAACAGGAGATTGTAGCATGACCATCTGTGGGTGATTTCTCACTTCCCCTTCCTCTGTCAAGCTCACACACCCTGTAGCCAATTTTTAAAAAAGGGGTTGGGGGAGGGCAGCAGATGGCATAGCAGTTATGTAGCTGGACTCCCACATGGCTGACTGTGGTTTGAGTCCCAGACCCCATGGTTGAAAATCACGCTGGGTCTATGTGGGTACATGTGTAAGATCCCAGGAAGAAAATAAAGGAAAGGGGATTGCAGCATGGCCATCCTCCTGCCCCCCCAGAAGGATGATTTCTCACTTTCCTTCTCACTGTCTCTGTGTGTGTCTCTCTCCAGCAAGTGCATATGCCCTAAGGCAGAAACCTGAATGAATGAATGAATGAAAAGAAAAGAAGGAAGGAAGGAAGGAAGGGAGGGAGGAAGGGAGGGAGGGAGGCAGGCAGGCAGGCAGGCAAGAAAAAAAAAATTAGTCAAAGGCTTTGAGATCTATAAAAGGATTGAAATCTACTTCTCCTGGAGCCCTAGGGAATTAACAGAAGCAATTCTAAACAGAATGCCTGTGCTAGTGGGGTAATGGTTTGGATCATATGGAAGAACAGAGACAGGAAGTAAAAGGCAGTGCATCACATGCACCTTTCTGCACAGTGGCCATACTCACACAGCCCCTAGAAATGGAAAATTAATGAAAGTTTCATTCTACTGCCTCCAAACAGGCTTGTTTCTATACCAGCTCTGTTCTAGTCATCCATTGGCTTCTCCAGGCAGTGGTTACCATTCCCAACCCTCCCTTATCTTTTGCTGTCTTCTTTCTTTCTCATCCTTTTCTTTTTCCCTAGGTGCCTTGCTCAACAAGGGGCCCTCCTGGCTAGAGAGATCTTTGTACCAATAAATAGCCCATGAGAACTATACCACTGATATCGTATATGCATGTATCTTATATATTAATAGATTTACATATATAACACCCTGAGCAAAAACCAGCCCATGGCTTTCAAGGCTAGGACACGGTAGGATCTTATTCCAATTCAGTCTCCTATATGTTACTAGATTTGGCTTCGTTATTATTGCCAGAGGACACATGGGCTAGCCAGAGAGTGAGAGGTCCCTCAAAGGGGCAGAATCAGGCCATGATTCTTTTTCATCTTCTTCTCCATGCTGTCAGGATTTGGGGCAGACACCTGTTTTTCAAGCTATGGGGACTAGAATCCGAACTGGCAAGCCATGTGAAATTCAGCTTTCTCTGCACAGTACTTTCTCTGCACAGTACTTTCTCTGCACTAGAGGGCAGCTCTGATTTGGCTTTTTTAAATATTAAGGGGTTTTTGAGGTTTTGTTTTGTTTTCTGTTTAAGCATAGCATGTACTGGGCCAGCAGGTGGTATAGTGGTTAAGGCACTGGATTCTCAGGGGCCAACTGTGGTTTGGATGCCAGAACCTGGAGCTTGAAATTTTCAGCACAATTGTGCATACATGACTACAATCCAGAAAGAAAATGGGAGAAGAAGGAACTACAGAGTGACCATCCTCTTAGGGGATGCTTTCTGCCTGTCTGTCTGTCTCTTTCTGTCTCTCTCTCTCTCTGGTGAGCCCATGTGCCCTAAAAATTAAAAACTAAATAGCACGTACTTTTTTTTGTTGCTTTCAAATTTTTATTCGATAACCATAAAGATGAAAATGAAAATCATCCATAATGCCACCATTAACATTTTGGGATTTTTCTTTTTTCCCCCCCTGGCTCTGATTTTTAATAATCTGTTTTTTCTTTTTTCATGTAATAGTTTCCTTGTGTCATTAAATATTGTTAATACACTAATTTTAAAGGCTGCACAGTACTTAAGTTTTATGAAACTACTATAATTGAATTATTTCCATCTTGTACCATGAGATATTTCTCTGTTACTAATGCCACAAAAAATAGTCTTATAGAAAAGCTGTTTGCCATATCTCCAATTATTTTGTTGAACTAACTTCCTAGAAATGGAATTTGTTGGATCACTTATGGCTTGCAAAACACAGCCAAAATGCCTTCCACTGTGATTATACTAATTTTCTGCATTCATGAGGCTATCCAATTCCCTGTACCCTGAACTTCAGTAGTATGAATTTAAATCTTTGTCAACTAGATAGGCAAGAAGACAAAAACAGAAACAAAGAATCACTTATGTGTTTGTCATTTGATGACAATAATGCTAAACATTTTCTTCCTTCTCTCCAACTCTAGACTTTATTGCCAGTTACTTTTGAAGATGATTGGTCAGAGCATTGTCTGTTTCCCTTCTGGTATACTGTTTTCTTATTGACATATAACTTTATTTATCTAACAGCTGTTAATCAGTTGTTCCCATATGTTACAAATGTCTTTTTTCCAAATTTATTGTTTGCCTTTTAATTTATATTTTAATATTCAAGCAAATCCATCACTCTCTATGATCAATAATATATTTTAAATATCTTCTTTATTTCAGTATTAACTATTCACTCATTTATTCAAATTTTTTACAGTTTAATTTTTTATTTTTACTTTGCCAGAGGGTACGTGCACTCATCGAAGAGACCATCCTTGATGAGGGATGGTCTCATACCACAATCCCTTCTCCTCCATTTTTCCTCTTTTCAGGATTTTAGGCATAAAAGTACTCATGCCCAGCATGTTTTTTCAAGCTGCCAAGTTCAGGACTCACACCTTGCAGCAGGTCACATGGAATCCAGTAACCTTAACCAACACACCACCAGCTAGCCCATAGTTTAATTTCTTAGTTAATTTCATAGTTAATTTCTTTATAGTAAACTCCTTAATCTAGCTGATATTTCTATTGGTTTATAGTATAAAGTGGTGGTATTTAGAATAGGAAGACTCTAACTTAATTTTCTTTTCCAAATAGTAAACCATTGACCAATTGGTTTATTAAAAATTCTTTCCACATAGATTTTAAATCCCTCATTTATTCTGTGCTAAAAACTCAAATCAATGGCTGGCTCCATGGCACAGTGCTCATGAATTACTCGAGAAAAGTCAGATCCTACATGGCAACTGGTTAGCATATCTGGCCAGGTCAGCCTAAAGCATGCTGAGATGTGCACGAGTGCCCATGATCCAACAGACTGGAGGTCTAGAGGAGGAGGGTTGCAGCCTGACAGACCTATAAAGAACGTTCATCTCTCTCTTTCTCCCTCTCTCAGCCCCGTCTTGTGTACTCACATGTTCTATCATGAATAAAGGAAAATGAAATTTTGTAGAGTCCAATTTAAACTAGAGTCTATTTTTGTATACATACTATATTGCTTCTATTATTGCAGATCAGCAACATGCTTATCTGAAAATGCCAATCTCAATTCTTTTGTCAAGCAACTTTACCAATTTTCAGAGTGATTTCACTGGCTTTTTGGTTGTACTTTTATTAGACCTACACATTAAGGATTGGAAAAAGAATATTGTTCTTCAAGGACCAGTAGGTGGTAGGGTGGTTAAGGCACCAGACTCCCTCATGGCCAACTGTGATTCGAATCTTGGACCTGGTGTCTTGCTTTCTCATTTTCCTTCCTTCCCTCCCTCCCTCCCTCTGTCCCTCTCTGGTCAAATTAAAATAAATAAGTCAATAAAGTTAAATAATTCTTAAGAAAATGAAATATCTTTTTTAAAAAGGAATATTGCTCATTATCTTTTCTAACTACTTAATCCTAATGAAAAAGAAAATATAGAATAACCAGCTTACTAACTTGTTCTATTATTTTCCATTTTCCTAGATGAATATTGTGTTTCTCAGTCATAGCTCTCCTTTTATTTTGGTTTCTTACTGCCTTATGTATAATTTTCAGGACAACGTAAAATTATAGTGAAAATAGTAAAGATTCTTAACTTTCTAATTTTAAGAGGAATGTCTCTAGTATTCCATTATGAAAGATGATGATTATCAGTATTAGATTATTCTTTCCTTTGATGGATTTGTATACTGCAGGAGTAGAATTTGGCTTTTATCATTGTTTAACTCCTATAGAGATTTGTTTTTCCTTGTTTGACTTTATAATGTGATGACTATATTAATATACTTCTCAATATTAGCTTTCCTGAAAAGAACCACATTTGGTCATCTTATATTTTCAAGAAGCCACTGCAAAGTATTTTCATTAAGCTTGTGGTATCTATAGTCATAAACAAAGGTGGCCATTGTCAGATTTTGAATTTATGGTTGTGCTGGCCTTTTAAAATAATTGAGAAACTTTCAACCTTCTTTTGAAAAATACATATCGTAGGAATAATATGATTATTAAAAGTTCGAAAAAACCTAACTCACTAAATAATTTAGGACCTTCTTTGGAGATAATCTTTTACCTTTCTCTAAGTTATTTTATGGTTAGTCCATGTTCAGCTCTTCTATTTCTTCCTGGAACAAATTTGGTAATTTCTACTTGCCAAGAAAAAAATTTAACCAGAAATTTTCAAGAGTATAAAAATTAATTTATATATATTTCCCATATTTTAAAACTTGCCATATCTAAGATAATAAATTATCCCATGTTTAAGTCTGCAGAACATTAAAAATGTTTTATTACATGGGACCAGCAGATGGTATAATGGTTATGTTGCTGGACTCTCACGTAGTTGACCGCAGTTCAATTCCCAGACCCAGCATCTAAATCTCACACCATATGCATGTGCATGTGTGGCCAAAATCTAAGATGGGAATGGAAGAGAAGGGAGTGCACTGTGGCCATCCCCCAGGGAGGTGATTTCTCACTTTCTGGCTATCTGGCAAGAGCATATGTCCTCTAGCAAAAATCTCTCTTTAAAAAAAAATGTTTTATTACACCTTCCAGATGTCACTTCAATCAGTTTTTTTTTGTTTGTTTTTTTTTGTTTGTTTGTTTTTTTAGGTTTTGAATTTACCAATTCTGCTCTTCAGTTAATTTATTTTGATTTATATTTCTTTGGTCATTTTGGTAGTAGGACTTCCTGAGAAAGACTAGTTATTCGTTTTAAACCCCAAATACAAATGCCACACTGATCTGTTTTCTTTTTTAAAACACTCTCAACTCTGTTCTTCATAATTATCTATCTTTTGGTGTCATTGGTTAATGTGTCTCCCTGACTAGACTACATATTCCAAGACAGTGGAAATCATGTATGTTTGCTGATCACTAGGCAGGGTCTATGGGGACCGGCAACAAACATTTGTTGAAAAAATTAAAAATAAAATCAGAAATACAATCTTGGGGCCACTCATTTCCCTTTTTCTTTCCTTCTTCTTGGGGCCCGTTGTTTGCCAGCACAGACCACTTACCAGCCCCATGAGCAGCCTCTGTTGGTTGTCTTCCTCCTGCAAGAGGGGCGTGGATCTTGGTTCTGAAATTCAATAGAGCAGTAGTCACGCAGGGTAGTTCTCAGGAAATGGGTAAGAAGAGAGAAGAACAGGCCAGGGTTTCCCTTCTCTGAGTCATTGAGAAAACAGAACACTTTCCTAATAAACTAAAAACCTTTCATTAGCTAAGTGTGACCTAGTCCTACAAGACACACTTATCACTCGTGATATACACAGAGCTCTGTGAAAGAGTGGGAAAGACAGAGAAGGAAGGTTCAAGAACACGTTCTCCAACACCAACAGTCTCTGGCTTTGATTACTTTTCAGCACTCAAACTCTTCTTTACTGGAGACAGAGACTTAGGCACTTTTTAACCCTTAGAGGATCATAAACCAAGGGACAGGTTTTTGATGAAAGGACTGCATGGCTACCTTCTTTCTGACCCCCATGACTTTTCAGTGACTTTGGGGTTACTGAGCTGAGGGGACCAGTCAATTTATTGTAGCAAATGAAACTAATCAACCTGAGTTATGAGAACAAAAAGGTGGCAAGGTCAAGATGGAAACATTACCTCTAAGTTTAAACATTTCTCCACTATGATTTGCTGGGCACTAGCAGGACCAGAGGGAAAGGGAACACAGTCTGGTTCTGTGTTCTGTTCTTCCTCTCCTCAAACACTTGAGGACTGGTATAGGCAAGAGGGTAGAGTTGCCCTGTTTCATGGGCTGATAACTCCTGGAAGGGCATGGGTACCTCAGGATGAGTCTCTCCTGGATCCTACAAAACCCTCATGATTACAATACAACAATTCAAAACATGAACCCAACAGCTCCGAACCTCACAGTGTGTTCTGTTTCAGGCAATGATAGCATTCTTCATGGGAAACTAGTACAAGCAAGGGCTGTGAGAGGAAGGGGAGGAGTTTCCTGATCTGCATTAAGGGAGACAGACTAGAAACAGCATGCAAACAGCCCTGAAGCACAGGGGCAATAGCTCTAGCAGCAGAGAAGGAAGGTGGACATGACAGAAACCTCAACCAGACCAGCAGTAGTTCACATATTGCAAAACCCCTAACAATGAAGGGAGGGGAAGCCAAGAATCACATGCATTTAAGCCAGGTCTAGCAGGGCGGAACTGTGGCTTCAGACATGGATGGCCTGGTAACACAGGCAGAGGCTGGTTAGCTAGTTCTGGCTATTCCATGTACCCAGGTCTGTTGGTTTGGCTGGACACACCATCTCAGCTCACCAGGCTGTGTGCATGGCTGTGGATGTGCAGTAACACACTGTATACAATTGTTTTCTTTAGAACCAACAATGTAGGCCTCTGAGCCCCTAAAAGAGGAGTGGAATACAACAGCTTAGTTAATGAGAGCTAGCTTCTATAAAGCATGAAATGCTTTCCTTACAAATACAAAAATGTTCGCACCTGAATACATTCAGCATCCCCCTCTGCCAGTATCACCAGACGAAGTCCCCCTTGTTTGTCAACTAAACTCAGATGGAAGCCTCTCGGAAGCCTCTTCAACCTTCTTCCCTCAGCCATGTCCACTCCTGACCTAGCCCCTCATTCCCTGTACCCTGGGGTTACATAATACCTGCCACCTTGTTTAGAAATGATGTGTTAGCATTCAATGATAGAACAGCCACCTCAGGTACCCCACATGAACTAAGCTCCATGCCAAGTGCAATCTACTTTTTCCCATCTACTCTCATTTTTCCTCACTCCAGCCCTGAGGACAACACATGACATAGATAAATGACTTGCCCAACAGCACACATCATCAAGTGGCAGTGCTGGAATCTACTCCAGTTCTGTCTGGCTCTGGAACCTAGGCTCTTCCTTAGAACCACACTGATTCTCTAGAGACTTTTTTTTTGGAGAGGTCTGTGCTATAGGGCGTGTGCACTCACCAGACAGACAGACAGAGACACAGAGAGACAGAAAGCAAGAAATCACCCCCCAGGGGGGATGGCCACGCTGCAATCCCTTCTCCATTCTTCTCTTAGGATCTTGGGCACGCACGCACACGTGCCCAGCTGAGTTTTAAGCCACTGGGTCCGGGATGCAAACCTAGGTCAACTACATGGGAATTCAGAGACATAGCCATTACGCTAACTGCTGGTCCCTCTAAAGACTCTTCACCTTTGTACCCATAGGGTCTAGGATAGTATGTACTCAAGTTTTAACCAAAAGGAAAAGGCACATACAGTCAGAGTTCAAATCAGACAGCTGAAGAGAAAGCAGCCTCAAGCCAAAAGAATTGCCAAAGAGCATCCTGTGGGTACTGCCAGAGGCCATGGCAATTAAATCAGCTATAAAAGGAGAAATAATGACAGAAGGCCAACGCCCAGGGACTCCTCCAGCACAAGAGCATTCAGCAGCTGTCCCTGAAGTCCTGGTGCCAAGACAGACCCGGAAAGAGCTGTGTGGCCATTCTAACAAGAAGATATTTGAGGGTGCTGCCTTTATTACACTACTGGGAGCAGTTTTCTTGCCAATACATAGTGGTAGAAGGACGGCATTACAAACAAAACACTGACTGAAATCCAGAAGGCTTGATTACAGGTCTTTTCTTACCCAAATTTCTTGCTTCCAGGTTAGAAATCACCCTACAAAGAAATTAGCCATGTTATTCACACAGGAAGCCTTTTTTAAAATTTAAAAACCACAACATACAAAGATATTTACCTTTTAAAAAAACACATAAAACCATTGCAGAAACTGTTCTCAGGTTACTGAAAACCTCAAAACTTTAATCAATGAAGCAAAAGCCACATTAGACAATTATAAAAATCTCAAAACCCTCTGATGTCAACAATAGCAATAATTAGGAACAATCGCCGCTCTCAGTTATTGGATATAATGGAGACAGAGAATAGAACAGAGGTTGGAATGGGGCCTATACTTTCAGTCTGAGATGACTCATCTATCCAAAAAATATGCTTTCAAAATAAGAGCAAGCTCACCAGCCCACTAACACTTCTTTTTTTGAACCAACCTATTATCTATCCTTCTCCCCACAAAGTGCTCACTTAATAAGAGTTTTCCTTACCACTTATCCATGCTAAGTCATCCATCCCCTAGAAGCAAGTCTACATCTTCGAACAAAAAGATTTTTTTTAGGAACAGACACTCCAGTACCAAACTCCAGTCTAAGGCCCAGGCAGCTGCATTCCTGAAGCTGACAGCATCATTTGGCAAGGATATTCAACAAAATTAAGGTATTTCCATGAGAGGTAGCTAACAATGTAATTGTAAAAGACAATCATCTTATGGTGTTGATAACCTTTTATTTTACTTACTTTATTGCATTATCAAGAATATTCCTCACATATGCTGTAGATCTTCTTTTTCCTGTTTTCTAGGAATGAGAACATATGAAAAATACAGAAAGTGAAGGCTTTAGGAGTGATTTTCCACATTAAGTACATAATACAGTGTAGTGATTGTGTATAGTTATTACATATACTTCTTCAGAAAAAAGAAATATACTTTTGAGGTAATCCAAACACCATTTTAATTAAAAAAAAATTTTATTCTGAAACAATTATAGATTCACAGAAAGTTACAAATCAACTATATACTATACACAACATTAAACTATATATAATACTACAAAGACCTCCCATGTGCCCTTCACCCTATCTTCCCCAACACCTATATCTTACATGACTATAGTAAAATATCAAAATCAGGAAACTAGGAGCCAGTAGGTGCCATGGTAGTTAAGATGCTGGACTCCCATATGGCCAACAGCAGTTTAAGTCCTGGACCTGGCAGCTCAAAAATCACACTTGGGGCATGTGCGTGCATGGCCAAAATCCCAGGGTAAGAATGGAGAAGAAGAGACCGCAGCAAGGCCATCCCCCAGCAGGGTGAATTCTCACTTTCCCTTCCATTGTCTCTCTCTGGTGAGCATACATGCCCTACTGCCAAAAAAAAAAAAAAAGAAAGAAAGAAAAATCAGGAAACTGAACTGACATTGGTACAATCTGTGTGTAGGGTTCTATTTTATCACATGTGTAGACTCATGTTTTACAATACACCACCACTCACAAGCCACAGAACTGTTTCATCATCCCAAAGATCTCCTTTGTGTCACCCCTTGATACAGTCAATCAGATTCACTCTTCTCCCCTCAACTAGCCCAACCCCTAGCAACCACTAATTTGGGAACACCTAAATTTTAAAAAATCAACTTTTAACTGTAAAAGCAACCAAAGAATACTTCTGAGACCTGGACAGTAATCACACTTCTGCTATGAATGTGCTGTGTGTCCCTTAACCTCTTTGCACTTTAGCTTCCTCTCTGGAAGACAGAAGTCTTAGAAGCATCTTCGCCCATCTACTTGAAAATCAGAAATGACATCATGGATGTGCCAGGCAATTGGGAAAACTGCCAGAAATGTAAGCCAGTCTTATGACAGAGCATCATCTGATCTGATTCATGATGCTTTTGCTGTTTGCTCTGGTTTCACTGACCCGTACGTACCTCTTCAGAGATCAGGTCGTGCCATTCCCTCCTGACCACACTGTTGTTGTAGTGAAAGTGAGGCTTGGTGTACTTAACATATTCTAGGTTAGAGTTCAGTTTTTCCCAGTAGCCTTTAAAGCTGTGGACCTGTAAGAGACAAAAATATCAGGAAGTTTCAGAAACAGGTTCTGTGGATCAATGGACCAGCAAGGATCACATAAGCCTTCCTTTCTCAGCTCCCACATGGTGGCATTTTTCAAGTTAATACTTCCCATAGAGGATGGCATCTAGTCCAGCAAGAATTCTGAAATAGACAGACTTTAAGAGTCTTGCTTACCTGCTTCATTTTCCAATCACTTTTGCAATGGGAAAACTGTTACCTACTTCCCAAAACAAGTATGACTTCCCCAGGGTAAAGCTTAGAGGGAAGCCTGTCCTAAACACAGCAAGACATTTCCTCCCCAGAGGCCCATTTTTCTGACTTAGGTTGTGCAAACAATGCTATGTTTAGTCAAAGAATGGTCATCAAATTTGAAGTGGGTGGAGTAGGCTTATACTTCCAGGATATCTTTCGAAACCTAAGAATCAAAATAAAAGATGAAATGACCTAGTTTCACATTCAGTTGTCAAGTATCCTAAAACAGAATTAGTTGACATTCTACCTAGGTCTTGAATTATTGATACAAGTGATTACCTTGAAGTAAGAACATATATTCACTTTATTCACATGTAGATAAAAATGCAACATTAATTCATTTTTAACAAATGAAGGGTATATTGACACATATTCTTAATACCAGTTAAGAGAAAATTATGATCTATACTTTCTTGCCAAAATCTGTGCATTTATAAAATATTTGAGTAGGGTCAGGGTGTAATGTGTGGCTATAAAATTGTGATGCTATGCGTACTGTGGTGACAGACCTGGCTAAACTGCAGGGGGAACAAATTACAAGAAATGAAATACACCTCAATTCAGAAAAATGGTCTAATGTTAAAAAGAAAAAGTGAAATTATCCAAACTTTTGTTCACAAGACAATCACAATTGATTTGACACAGATTTTGGAGTAAAAGCAAAATGAATTACATGGAAATAATCAAATGTGCTGTTTTAGAAGCTGAAATGCCTGTCGAAACCAATGTCCCTTCTCCCAGAAACAACAAAAATATTTCCAAGAAAGTGTCATTTTCACTTGAAGTAGAACACTAGGGTTGGGTCTCATTCCTCATTTGACCTGCAGATATCTGGCAGAGTTAGGTCCCTGCCTGGAAGTCACTACAGCTTTCTTGAAATTCTGCATCTGGGCAGCAACACACTAGTGCCAAAGGCCAGACAGCTATGTAACTAGGGTTGTGCTGACATCTAGTGGTCAGTTAACCTATGTCCACCCATGATTGTGGTTCTCCCAGACCTTGCCTAGGAGAACGTGCAGAGGAAAGAAAACTGGTGCCATTTACTGCTGTCTGGCCGCATTCCTTCAGGCCAAATGTTGCCCTGTGGTAAGAACCCATCTCCACATGCTGCAACTTCTAAGAAAAGATCTCTCTCAAATTACCTTCCTTCTCTTCACTCCCCCACAACTTAAGTTAACCCCTTTCCTTGTAACCTTTTGTCAACTCAGAATCAACACAACTGGACTCGACAGATCCACTGAGGGGCTACAAAAAGGCTGGAGCTCCCACTGATTACACATAAAATGGAGTGTGTGTTTGTGCGAGTGCTTTCTGAGGAGGTGATCTATAGCTTAAACCACATTTTCAAATGAATCCATGACCTAAAATAGTTCAAAACCACTGAGTTAAAAGGAAAAAGATCTGAAGGAAACATTGTTAGCCAAAAGTCCCAGCAATACTTCCATGTTAACTGACAGGTCTTTTAGGAGGTCACCATACTATTATAGTGTTATTATCATCTTACAGATATTATGAGAGCACAGGAAAACATAATTCATAAATATGTCACTATTTGGCATCTACTGGATAAATGATGCAAATTAAGCTATGAAAATTTACAGAGATCACTGTGTATTAGAAGGCCTATTTGGAAGCCTGGGAAGTAGTTAGGGCCCAGGAGATGCAGAGAGATTTAAGTGAAGTTCTAGGGTGTGAGTTAAAACTGAAAGCTCAGAATGTAACTGAAAGACCAGAATGTGGATTCTCGGTTTAGACCAGAGGCAGAGTTTAGAAGCTCAAAACCAACAACTAACAGCACTTCTTTCTCTGTGGTGAAGATAAAGCTCCTAGTGGATTCCCAACCTCCACTGCCCATTAGAACCAGTGGGGTCCCATCTCCTAGAAATTTCCTTGCTTTGGGGTGTGACCTGAGCTTCATGAGTTTTATAGCTTTTCGTGTGATGCTAATGGTCAGTCAGAGCTGAGAACACAGCCTAACCTTGTCCAAGTGATCTCTGTCATCCTCAAACATGTCACTCAACCAATACCTGTAACTTAAAGGCCACTAAAGGACCAGCTATCTGAAGAGTTGTGATTGTTGGGTGTAAAAATAGGAGCTATAGGGCCAGATGGTGGCACGATGATGGCACAGTGGTAACACAACTGGATGCACATTGGAAAGACTTGGGTTTACATCCTGGAGCCTTCCTGAACATTCCAGGTGTAGACACACATGCCCGTGATGTAGGTTGGCTGGGGCTAGATCACGGTGTGAAGACCTTGTTGGTGGGGGAGGGGAGTTCCTGTCTCTCTCCCTCTCTATGAAGAAATAAACATTTTAAAATAATAAATAATAATAGACAACATGACTAAAGAGGAAGTTAGCGACAATCTTTGGGGAATCTTACATGCCGAGTTGACACCAGCATGCTCATTAAACCAGAGAATGAAAGTAGCTCCAACACGAAACTTTAGATATTGCAACGTAGCATGGTGGGTAAGAGGTGGGGAGGGTAGAATCTGCACAAACCCATCCTAAAAGCCAAGAATGGGATTATACTGAACCTGGGAGTACAGAAGACCACTCAACCAACTGGCACTTACCTAGCGAGGCAAGTACTGAGTCCTGTACTCACTGGTTACACCACCACCACAGGGTGAAAGCCGTGACGGTCGAACAGGTACAGCCCTAGCTACTTGAAAGAACTCGTGGTACTTACAAAAATAATGCACAAAAAAATGCTTTAAAAAAGTGCCCATGAAATAGGCTAACGTCTGGGAGACGCTGTGCTACTACTAAAAATAATCAGATCCTGAAGGAATGGTCCAGGAACATTTTTCTGCACAAAGGGGAATTTAAATTTTGATTTTAAAAGAGGGAAAATTATTCCAAGTCTCTTGTTCAGAAATAATCTAATTTTCTCTCTTAGAGCGACCTGAACAATACTAAATGCATTCTATCATGACTATGAATCAAACAAAAGGACCAATGAGTTACATTAAGGGACTGTTTCTCATTTATGATTTAGATGCCAATTGATGCAAAAACAAAAATTTAAAAAGTCCTGTGGCATGGGTTCATCTGCAAATTGCTGCCAGGAGAAAACATCTGCCTTTCATTTCTAAAAGGCCCTCTGGCTTTGGTCCTATGTCTGCTACTTAACCAGCATCTTCTTACAGGGGAGGAGGCCAACTCAAAGAAAACCCTTTACTCTGGATGCCAGGACTCAACTAACAGAGCTAAAGCATCAATCCATTTTGGGTCTAAAGTGACCCCATCCCAGTATCAGCTTTTACTTAGAGCCCAGAGAAACAAAGCAACCCACTGCTTCTAGCACAGACAAAATAAAATGGAAAATGTCAATGTGAACATAAAGCCAACAAGGCATCATACCAAACTAAGATGCTCTAAATGATAACACCCATACACTGGACAAAAGTCTCAAACTCCTACGTCTTCCCACTAAGGGAAATGCATGCAAGTTCAAAATTACCTGCATATATATTGGACTACTTCTTCCCCACAATCTAGACAAAAAATTCCATGTCTTCGTCAAGCTGGGTAGTTCTAAATCAGTCTAAACCATTCCGTCTCAAATTCAGCATATGCCCTGAGAAAGCCAATGCTAAACTATTTCCCTCCTTTCAGTCTTAAGAATCAAAGGCAAATCAGCCAAAATTCCAAATGAGAACAGCACAGCTTAGTGGCTATTGAGAAAAGAACAAAAGCAAGAATCTTTGATCCTGGGTCTCTTCTTCAGTTTCACCATCTAGGAAGGAGACTGAAGGTAATGGTTCCGTTCCTACAGAACTGACAGAATGAGTTCACCAGCCTAATTCTGTTTCTAAGTAGTAATATTTCTTTGTAGCATCACTAAATTATGGTGTATGCATTAATTGGGCCAAGGGCCAGCAGGTGGCGCTGGACTCCACATGGCTAACTGCTGTTCGGGTCCTGGAACTGGTGGCTCACCTCTCACTCTCTGATGAGTGCATGTGCCTTATAGCAAATTAAAATAATATTATTAAAGATGGATTTTAAAATATTAATTGAGCTCACTAACTCTGTCCCATAAAATATGTACAAACAGATCTTAGAAAAATCAACATTTCCCATATAAACAATCGACACTTCATACAAAGCTACATTTCTGATTAAGCAACAATCCTAATTGTTAAGAATTGCAAGCTATTGGGAACCAGCAGGTGGCATAGTGGCTAAGGCGCTGGACATTCCCACATGGCCAACCACGGTTTGAGTCCTGGACCTGGTGGCTTGCTTTCTCACCTTCTCTCTCTCTGTTTCTCTCTGGTCAAATTAAAATAAATGAATGAATAAATGAAATTAAATAAATAATTATTTTTTAAAAAAGAATTGTAAGCTATTGGGGACCAGCAAGTGGCGTGGTGGTTAAGGCGCTGGATAATCCCACATGGCCTACCATAGTTCAAATCCCAGACCTGATGGCTTGCTTTCTCATTTTCTCTCTCTCTCTCTCCCCCTCCCCCTTCTCTGTATGTCTCTCTCTCTGGTAAAATTAAAAAATAAATGAATGAATAAATAAAATTAAATAAAAAATAATTCTTTTAAAAAAAGAATCGTAAGCTATTACACTGTGATTGTGCTGATACTAATAAAAGATCTCTAACAAACTTTTTTTTTTTTTCTAACAAACTTTTTGAGTGATTGTGGTTTCTGCATTGTAGGTCAAGGGAAAATAAAGGGTCCTTTGTGCTTCACAAAGCAATTAAT